CGGGAACCCAGGTTTTGCGACAACAACCAAAAACCCGGGTTCTGCTGTACATGTCCACAACCAGGAACCCGGGTGTCTGCTGTATACTGATCCACAACACAGGAACCCAGGTGCCCTGCTGTATACTGATCCACAACACAGGAACCCAGGTGTCTGCTGTTTTACTGATCCACACACAGGAACCCAGGTGTCTACTGTATACTGATCCACAACACAGGAACCCAGGTGTCTGCTGTATACTGATCCACAACACAGGAACCCAGGTGTCTGCTGTATACTGATCCACAACACAGGAACCCAGGTGTCTACTGTATACTGATCCACAACACAGGAACCCAGGTGTCTGCTGTATACTGATCCACAACACAGGAACCCAGGTGTTTGTCTCTCACAAGGTTAACTTGGCATTTTTTTGCATATATGTTGTAGTTGGTTATGTGTTTGTTTTTCTTTTATGTTTGTTTTTCTTAGTTATGTTTTTATGAACATTTTCAAAGTGTGTCTTCACAGAAGTTCTACAAACAACTGATTCACAACAGAAAATGCATAATACTTTATTATCTTTCTTAATCATGACAAATTTTTCAGTGCAGTATTTTTTAAATTCTCTGATATTGTCTTCGTTTGAATAACATTGTTTCTTGGCGGGTGGTCGTCACATCCTGTACAATCTGTAAAGGCCAGAATGAAAATAGAATTTGGAATAGTGATATACATATATTAATCGTAAAAACGAAAATAGGAGGGAAAACTTTTGTTGTGGTTAGTAGTACGAACTGTACCATGAACAGTTAAACTGAACTCAGGCCATGTTAAGTACCACCTGATTAATGTTATCCACACAATTTCACGAAAAGTGGCCTGCCAGGTTTGGCATACTTGCCAAGGGTTTCCCGCCCCTGCTCTAGTCTGTTCCACTTCCTGACCACTAAGGCTCCACTGTTAAAATCAACATGGTATTCGAGACTCAGGATCATGTGGTCACTAGCATCGAGAAGCCTTTTGTGTGTAATTCCCTTATGTCTGAATTGTTCAAACTAAATACGAGGTCCAGCCTTGCTGGTTCATCATCTCTGGTCATGTCACTAACAAGATGGTGCATGCAGTTTTCCAGTACCACCTCCAGCATCTTAGTCCTCCATGTTTCTGGTCCCCCATGTGGCTCCAGGTTTTTCCAGTTAGTCTCCTTGTAGTTGAAATCCCCCATGACTAGTAACTTCGCCCTGCCAGGTGGGCCCTTCTGGGCACCTCGCCTAGTGTGTCCACCATCGCTCTGTTGCTCTCATACTCTTGTGTCTTACTGTTCAGTGTTGGGTTGTACATCATTGCTATCATCACCTTTGGACCTTTAGTCTGAAGTGTTCCTACTATACTCACCTATTTGTCGTTCCAGGGGTCGACTCATAGCTCCTGGCCTCGCCTTTTCACTGGTCGTTACTAGGTCCCCTCCCTCCCTGTATGTGTGTGTGTGTGTGTGTGTGTGTGTGTGTGTGTGTGTAAAATTACCGTAGCAGATTTATGCTCGTGGTGCTCCGTCTTTAATACTCTGTTCGTCATATATTGTTTAAAATTTCCAGTGAGTGCAGCACTTAATAGTTCCTCTAAGGCATTTCAATAGTCAACCACTCTGATAAGATAAATTTTCTATTGTCTTTTCCACATCATTTTTTTATCAATCTGCAACTCTGGCCTCTTGTCATCCCTGTTGCAGCTATTAAGAAATCTTTATCTACTCTTTCAAGACATGTGTTTATCATGTCTACTAAGAAAACATGGACAACTTTAATGTTTTCAACCTTTCATCATAGTTCATACTGCATAACTCTGGCAGTCCTTTGTAGCTTTGTAATGTTTCTTAAGTTGTGAGCACCATACAACTGTTCTATATAAACCATACCATGGGCTGGATAGAACCCGCGATCAGTAATAAGACTCCAGACTGAGTCAACTCTTCGATATTCCAGTTTTGACCTAATATAAGTTTATAAATAACTTTCTGAGCATTTCACATTAGTATGTAACCTGGCAGAGCTGATAGTTTTGTCAGGCTCTAGCTCTTGGCCCTCAAAATGGGGTTGGCTGTTTCACCGATCACACTAAAGTGTGACTTATGGGGAGACTCACTAACTTCTGATTTTTTTTTTAGGGGGATGGATATCTCAAAATAGGGTCTCTCACAGCGGCTTTTACCAGAGCACTGCGCCAAAGATCATTTGTCGAATATATTGCGATTTTTCCAAGATATTATTTTTTTTAAAGCATGACCATTTATGGTTTTGGACCAAGCTAACCCACCTCCCCAGACCTCCCTCTACCACCATGCACACCTCCTCTCATCTATGATTGCCTTCCCCCATGACCCTGGAGCACTTCCCCTGTTGTAGGCATAGTGTAGGAGTGTGCAGGAGTGAGAGATAGACGTCGTTGTGCTCTGGGTATGGTTTAATAGGTAGGTCCTGGAAATGGGAAGTACAATGCCTGGGATATTGGCAGTTTGGAGGGGTATGTTGCATATCTTTATACGTATATGCTTCTAAGCTGTTGTATTCTGGGCATCTCTGCAAAAACAGTGATTATATTTGCCAAGCCGAGGTCCTACTTCTGCAAGGTCCAGACTGCAACTGACCTACATACAAAGAGAAGTATGGAGGAATACCAATGTGAAGTGGTCACAGGGTCTACCTCTCTACCAACCATCATAATGGTTGTTACATTTATAATACATGACCTATAGATAATTATGACATATTGACAACTCAAACATACTATGATATGCTGAACTAGACATACTATTATAAACAGCATTGTAAACAAGATGCAGTTAACATGACTCAAGAAATCGTAATGACACGATTGCAAATAAACCATACCCCCGACCGCGGGTTCAATCCCGGCCGGGGGTATGGTTTTTAAGATGCAGTTAATTGAATGGCTGTCATAACAAGCCATTGTCGGAGATTCTATTCAATGCAATGTCAAGAAATTGGTAAGTTATATTTATACATACACAGAATCATGAGAATTATTGTAAACTGTAGTAACTCACAGAGAGAAATATACATAATCATTGAATCATGGCACTGAAACTCATTGGAGTGATATATGGTTACTTTGATCAAGTAGCAGAGAAAACCTATTGGTATGGTTCTGAAGAAAAATTTATATATGTACGTTAAAACAGTCTTCCCTGAGCATATTTTAAGACACACAGTCGTCGAGTAAGACACGGTCTTTCCAGAGCACATCATTTTTTTTCTTTTTGAGGTAATCAGTCCCTCAGCTTAGGAGTGGTGAAGAGCACCATAATCGTGAAGTGTCTGAAGTACAGGTCAGGTTAGCTGGCGCTTATATACTGGCGTCAGGTGGTGAGGGATGTGTAGCAGACGAAGACATTGTCACTGGTGGGCAGGATTCCTCAGTGACAATGTCTTCGTCCGTTATACGTCCCTCACCACCTGACGCCAGTATATAAGCACCAGTTAACCTTGTCTCTACTTCTGACTTTTTTTTTTGTTCAACAATCAACTAGTAAAAAATTTACATATGTACACACACAAAAAAATTCTGCATGGTTAATAATTACAATTTTATGCACAATATTGTATAGTGGTGGTGTAAGATAATTACAAAGACTGACACACACTCTAAGATGGCAAGGTATAGTAAAACAAAGGATGGTATGTTGGCACTTGGAACAACAGATTATCTATGTATTGTATTACCATTTAAACCCAAGCGTTTGGATTCGATTCCCAGCGAGGGTAGAAACATTGTGTTTGTTTCTTTACACCTGTTGTCTATGTTCACCCATCACTGAAATGGGTACCTGGGTGTTAGTGGACTGGTGTGAGTTGCATCCTGGGACAGTGACCTAATTTGCCTGAAATGCTCAGTATAACAAAGGGCTTTCTATATAGTAGTATGTCATTGATGTCAGCTAGGACTGTATACCTTGTATACAGTCCTGCTAGACTTAAATAATAGGCAGAAAGAATACCAGGTGTAGGAAGGTTAATTAAAGATCAGAAGCAGTTGTTAATACTTGCTGTGACTGAGAGGAATCAACGTTAATAGTATCGGATGGAAGTGTGATTTCCTCACCACTTGTCTTGTACATAAAGAGTAACGGTAGTCAGAATGTGTGTTAGTCGGGTTGTCAGAAGTAGGAGGTACTGAGTCAGAAGGCTGAGTCTGGCTCACCAGTCTGGTTGCCAGTGGTATCATTAACATCACAGATCAACTTCATGTGATCAACTACTGATTTCTTTGAACTTATTGTTGTTACCACATAAATGTTCGACTACATGATATGGACCAACAAACTTTTGATCTACCATAGGCATAGGAGAAGTCTTGTTAAAATTGATAAGCATAATTCTTGATCTGGTTTTAATCGTAATTGGTTTCACATGTGCGTTAGTAACTTTTGTAAGTTCCGCTTTTGATTTGTGAAGTGTTTCACAGATTCTTCTAAAAATATTTTGTGCTAAGCGAGTGCGAGACATAACATAATTATCATCATTATAACCAGGCTTTGAACTCGAGTATAACAACTCACAAGGAAAACGTTTATCTACATCATACAAGGCATAGTGAAGAATATCTCCTACAGAGACTTTAGAGAGTTGATAGCACATTCAACATCTGGAATATATTTGTCCCAAGTTTCACTGTTAGAATTTATAGTAGCTCTTAACACATCTAATACTTTCTTATTAGTTCTTTCCACTATTAGCTGGATGGTGAGGAACAATAGTTCTTCAAGATTCTCCTTTGTATGGACTGATGAAGCCACTGTGTGGCGAAACGTTTCCTCAATAAAGATACCCAAGAGTTGCACATGTGTCTAATTTATCAACGTACACAACTTTTCTAAAATCTCATTACAAAATTCACCACCATTGTCGATTACTAATGACTTAAGGGTGGTATATGTACAAATTATGCGTTCTTTAAATGTTCTGGCAATAGTTTCAGCAGTTTTATCTGTGACTGGAACTAATTTGCAGTATCAACTAAAATTATCCACCATTACTCACATATGTTTATTTCCTTGAATAGAACTTTTGAACTTAGTTAATAAATTGTGAGATACCCTTTCTCAAGGTTCACTAGTAGTGGGATACACTTGAATAGGGTTAGGACCACTGACATTACCTTTATTATGCATGTAAACTTTGAATTTCGTAACATTTTATGAAATACCTGATGACATTTGAGGCCCTAAGTATTTCAACCTGGCTTGTTTAACTGAATGATCCTTACCAGGGTGTACAACACCTGGGTGTACAACACCTGGGTGTACAACACCTGGTGAACTAGCTGCAGGGCTATATTCGCTAATGATGTAGGAATGTCAAATTGATGTACTCTTTGGCTAGGAGTACCAAGTTCA